TCTAATCTCTTATTGGCCTTCCACAGCGTGAAATACCATAGAATATTTATATATATACATTTATATATATACATTTATATATATACATTTATATATATAGACTTATATATGTACATTCCTATTCTGTTGAATACAATTTTGATGTAGCAGAGACAGAATCAAAGCCTTGATTTATTAAGACAAAAACAAAAGCCCATCCAAGTTTTACCTTGCACCTCTGCAGAGCTTTGGAGTATAAGAACATGAGGAAATGGTATGGAATACTATATAATATCCACATTCTCCTGATAATTTTTTACAGTTAATACCACATTTACTTGCATGCAGAATTTCATTAAAGTCCATCGCAGTCGAGGAAAATTCCAAGTGGCTCAGACAGCAGCAAAGATTTGGCCCCTTGGCCAATTAATTGGGAGGAGAAGTTGAAGCCGAGTCTAACATAAATAATTAGCTGTCGACACGTTGCGCATGTTGCATGTGGCATACATAGGCCACCTATGTATATGGCCATGGCCAAGGCAATTATTTCTCTGCAGGCGAGTTAATTTATGCCCAGATAAGAGATTTTCCATTTCTCTCGCCCTCTCTCTCTCTCTCTGTCTCTGTCTCTGTCTCTGTCTCTTTCTATTCACACACATAGCATAGCATACATGGTTGAACCAAAAGTCCAGCGCTTGACAAATTTTCGATGCTTCGTCTGGTTGTATATTTTTTTATCTTATAGCTTTTCTTGGCTGGCTTTTTATATTTTTTATTTTTCATTTTTTGGCTAGTTTTGCCCACGGCTGGCTGAGCGAGAATCCTGGAAACGCACTCATCTGCCGCTGGAGAACAAAAGAATTGTGCAAATTTGAAGCTTTGCAATTTAGTTGGGAAATTGTATTTCATTAGATGAAAAGCTGAGCGTGGGCCATGCCATTTAAAGAGTCTCAATCTTCCACTGCTAGAGTTTACCTTTAATGTAATCCGATTATCCACAGATACGCAGTTCAGCATTCAATTAGTCCTATATTCCTCTGCTCGCCAATTCATACGCGAAAGTATTTCATTTCTGTCTGCGAAACTCTTTGAGTTCGTTGGAATCGCAAGCGCGATGGGACTGGGATTAGCCAGGGCCAGACAATACATAGATAAATGTTAATTGGTGAAATCGAACACAGTAGGAGAAAGTATTTCTTGTGAAAATATGAAAGAGAGAGGAAGATAGAAGAAAGGCTGAAGGAGGACTGCTCTACCAACTAATCATGCTTACACTTTCCTCTCTCTCCCCCACTTTCTCTTTCTCTCTCTCTCTCTCTCTCTCTAGCTGCAGTGAAACCTGCTGGGATCAAATCAATTTCAAGTGTCTCCCGCCCTGCGATTTCATTTAAAGTGTTGCCAGGCTGCCTGACGCATTGGCTGTGAGTGCAATCGATACGAAAGCGCACACCCAGCTCAGCCGTTGATTGAGTAAATCAAAAATAATTTGATGACGGTACACACAGAGAGGGAGAGAAAGAGGAGAGAGAGGGAGAGGGGGGGGAGAGACATGCACATATGCGACGCATCATAAATCTCAGCATTAAAAAATTGAACCATAGAGAACGAGCGCTGTAACACCAAAGCGGCTGCTCTGACGCACACATCGTATATCATTACACACACAAACACACACACACACACACACAGAGAGAGCTGGAATGTGCAACGATATTTTACAATATAATTATGTCAACTACAGAGGACGGCGACAAAATCTATGTCGAGCTCTTAACATCTCAACAATACTTTGTATTTCCGTGGCCACTGCACCACCCGCTTCCTGTAGCCCATCTCTCTCACACTCACACTCCCTCTCTCTCTCTCTCTCTCTCTCTCTGTCTCTCGCTCTTGCTATGGCATTGGCTATGGCTGGTCTTTGATGCAGGCAACTGATGCAGCAGCAGCAACTGGCCAGCCAAGCCGCTGGTGACAGCAACGGCGCCAGCATAGAAAATTATGACACCCTTTGGGATTTAGGGGCGAGCTGGGCTGGGGCAGGGGGTGGGCCAAGGGACAGGGGCTCTTGGCAGTCTGGTGTCAGCCACAATGAGCCAACTGCCACATATCTTTTGACCATCTCCATCTAACTCATGAACTGTTTAGCTCAATTCTCACACTTTCGGCCCGTCTCTCTCCACTCTCTTCGCTCTCCTCGGTGAGTTTCCCTGGAGATGTGATATTCATTTTACTGCTGGCCTTTTGAACAGCTTTTGAATGCTGAAAGAGTAAACAAAAATAAAATAAATAAATCGCAAATTTATTATCAAAGTTAATGAACAAAATAAATGCGCAAATTTTAAATGCATGCACATACATACATGTTCATGTATGTACACATACATATGTGCATATGTGTGTGCCCTTACACATTATTACAAATTCGTTTAGGGACTCTCTCAGTTAAATTTCAATTTTAAATTTGGCACACAACAAAATTGCTGAAGTATTTATCGTAGAGTATTGGAATGTGATGGAGTGTTATCTCTAAAGGGCTGGCAACCCATCAAATCTCTGCGGTAGCTCCCGCTCAAGTTCCTAATTGCTGAATTGACTCACTTGCCAGCGTTTCGCTGATACTTGCTTATACGCATACTTATATGCACTCAATGTAAGCGACTCGAAGTGCAAATATCTACAATAGTCAAATTTCATTGGAACAAAGCTCAAAAGTGCAACTAGAGACGGTGGCAGCCACATCGATTGCGTGCAACTATCGATAAGAGAGAATACTGTGCTGCAATAGGACGGAGTTTTGGCAATGGTGTTGCCATATAGCTATAGCTAGCGGGAAAGTCGCTAAGTTGGCCTTTATTTATATCAGAGAAGAGCCAACAAAAGATAAGTGATTGATGACCTACAAGCAGAGCTCGCAAATGAGAGTTGATCGTTTTTTCGTATATGCTCTGCTTCGTATCATAACCGAATTGCTTGTGCAGTCACGATCTCGCTCTGAGCGACACTCTTTGTTCTCTTTAAAATCTGTTTCGGTTAGACGCATTGCAATGACTCATTCGTGTGACGCTCTCAAATGAGTGTCGCGTAAAGACTAAGACGATTTTCGCTCACACAAAGACTCTCAGCAAAAGACAGTTTGACTAAAAAACTCAACAGAAATTGTCTTTGCCTTCGTGTGCATGTAAATACATGCATACATACATACAAAAAGAACGCAACAATCGCGCGTGATTACCCATACATACGCAACTGACAGTTTGCTTCATTTAACTCAAGCAAACGATCAGTGTTTGACTTGAGCGAAACGAAAACAGAAATAACTGTCTCGCTCAGAGCGCGAGCGAGCTAAGCCAGACGCGACACAAACCGTTTCTGTCTAAATTTTTTTGATTGTGTCAGTGAAAGACACTTATTTGCAGACAACGAAAAAGTGTTAACAGTTATTTGCGAGCTATGCCTATAAGACTGCTAAGACAATAATTCTAAATCGATTAAACTCTTTCGTCTTTACTAAGTGCAAATTCTATAAATCACTCTATCAAACCTGCATCCAAGACTAAAATCATATCCATTACAAATTTTATAGTTCAAGCCCATCTCAAAGAATTTCTTTAATCTAAACTCATTTCTCTTAGGATAATATTCTGCATATAAAATGATGCACATATAAATACGTTGATTATTGATAAGATCTACTACATACATATGTATATCAATTTGGAAAGCAATTAAAATCCTAGACAAAATGCTCAAACCATTCGGAAATCGTGAGTCAGACAGCGTTTGGTTGCTTAGAGTTTTGGAAATGTAATATGGTTGAGCCTTAACATGCTTAGCGTGCTGTACATTCGATTTCTGGGAAACTAAAAATCGCGGTCGGCAAGAGTAAGTAAAAGTGGATTACCAAAGTAGATTACCTAAAAGTCGAGAAGCTCTTGAAAATCAGAATTTTAATTAGTTTCGCACTTTTCGTGGCAGCTTTTGTGGCTTTCTGTTAAATATTAAATTGAAAATCATTTGTCTTAAGCGACCACAAAGGCGCACAGTGAAAGGGGGAGAGGGAGGTAGGGAGACAGAGAGAGTACTAACATTAACCACATAACAATTTAGGGCTGGAAAATAGGCTAACTGCACGTGGACGACAACTAAATCGACCTTTGAAAGAGGGGAAACAGATGGAAAATTATGCGAAACTAGCAAGTGAATAAGTAAGTGAGCTCCGGATGGGAGTGCTCAGCTGGGAGATACTCTGTAAGCAATCGATAATCCACACTTTTGCCGAAGATGTCCTAAGAGTGGAGTCATCCAGTCAAATGAGGTGCCTACACAACTGAAGCTTGTTATCGACATGCAATCGATTCCAAGTGGATCGATAAATTGATATAAAAATATATATATATATATTCCTATTGTATATTGTATATTCCTATTCTGTGTATTCCTAACTAAGAATATATTTAGTTTTGCTTATAGTACAAGCAAGGAATGCCCCTAATGAAAGAGTAACTTTTAAAAATCTGCTCGATGGCAACTCGTGCAGCTATAAAACTAAATTGTATTATTACGTTCTGTTAAAAGTTACACAAATATTACAAATGACTTAACTCGTTGGACATAATTATTGTTAATTTGCGCCACTGTACAAACCCACAAAATTTAATCAGCTGCCATTTGTTGTATTCACACTGTTGTTGTTGTTGGCGTTGCTTTCCTTTGACTGTCAGCTTTATACCCGGTACTCATTAAAAGTCAAATGATGAGCGGCATGCGTGACTCATTAACTCAAGCACCTGAGCACACCTGTGCCTATGTTCAGGTTAGAAGCTTAGCCTTTTCCATTGATAGATCTCCTATTCGCTTATTGTCGATTATTAAAATATTATATATCGAAGACTTTTCGGTTTGTAGAGTTTTAATTTGCATTTAATTATAGGATATCTTTTAGTCGTGCACTCTGGATAGTGAAGCCTTCTTCATGTTAATATTATTCTTTCATCTTTCATCCCGTGTTTTTTTTTTTTTTCCCCACCCAGGCGCCTTGTATGAAGATAAATATGTATTTCACAAAAGGAGATCTCATAATGATGTTTTTTTTTTTTTTTTTTTTTTTGTCGCCTTCGCATTTTCTTGTCATTTGTTTTCCTCTCCTTTCGCTGTCGTCTTAAGCGTTAATTAATATTTATGCCCAATGCTATAACTATTAAGCGAACACTGTTGCACTTTATCCATTATTCCGGCTGACCTGAAAATGGACCTCATTACGTAAGCATTAAGCATTTAATCAAGTGGGGATAGCTAGGGAATATACAACTATGAATACCCATGAGGGAATATTGAAATATTTGAATTACTCACTTGAGCATCTTGTAGATCTTTGCTTCTGCATCTCATAGATACTCATTTGAATATATATATTATATAGATACTTACATGAGCATCTTACATCTTACTAAAATGATAATCTTACAGATCTTTGCTTGTGTATCTGACTTGACTGTAAAGATCATTGACTAAGAAAATCTAAAAGATTATTTGTGCTTCAATATTGTTTACTTGAATACTTTAAGTATCTCGCAGAAACCTACTTAAGGATCCAATATATCTCTTTCTTGAGTATCTTACAGATACTTCAATGGTAATCTTACAGATCTGTACTTGTGTATCTTATTAACTGTGTATCTTATTTTCTTGATAATCTTAGAGATACTTATTTAATAATTTTACAGATTTCAGATACGTCTTACAGTTCTTAAACGAGACCAGGTTCTTTTTTGGTACTTCAAGCATCTTGGGCAACAGATCTTTACTTAAGTAGCTTAGATATTCTTACTTGATCAGTTTACAGATACTCGCTGGAATACTTTACAGATCTTAACAAGAGCACCTTGGATATGCTGGACTTTCTTATAGATACTTTAGCTTTAGCTTCCATTCAGAGCAATAGACAAATCAATTTTTTCAAAAAAAATATTTCAGAGCAAAGCAAACTCTACGTCTTTTATGAATGCTTTATCTTATTGATTATTTGGAGCAGCTGAAGAATGAAGGATTACATTAATATTAATTTTTTTTAGTATTAGCAATATACTCACATCTAAGATGTAGGTAAGAGTCTTTCGGGTATCTGAAATATCTCGAGTCTCCAGTTCTGAGGCATCTCAGCCGCATCGTATCTTCTAGCTGTATGCTATCTATATCTAAGCATCTTAAGGGCCTTCTGTGAGCGAGGCTGATTGTCACGATCGATGACATGCTGCACGCTGAATACACATAATCGCTGGGCACGTGTAGCTAGACGGCTCTGACAGGCAAATTAACATAGAGTCATGCATTTTATGCACGGCTAGCGATTGCACATGTTTGGCAAGGCAATCGAAGGCAAACAGAAACTGCAGCCACTGCATAAAGATGCAAGAGGTGCAAGAGGTTGCTGCTGCTCCTCTGCTGCTGCTGCTGCTGCTGCTACTGCTGCTGGAGCCTGTCGAGCGACGGCACGTGATTCTCATTTCAAAATTGATTTCCATTTGCCTGTGAGCTAGCTGCAGCTACATAGCCGAGCGAGTGCTTGTTGTTGTAAGTGCAATTGATTTGGCAATGGAGTAGTCAAAGCCAAAGCGATGCTTGAATTTCAAAGTTGGGAGCGTCGAGTGGGGCGTCGTCTTCGCCGATTAATATTTGCTCAGCGCAAATGCAGCGCATTGAGACACGCAGTTAGCTGATAAAAAAAAAAAAAAAAAAAAAAGAGAAAAATAAATAAATAAAAATAGAAAATAAATAAATAAATACAAATAGACAGACGGAATAATAACAAAGTCTGTTTGAAGCTCTCGTTGTTCTCTCTCCACACACACACACACACACACTGGGGCCATGGCCCATATGCTGCTTAGCCCACTAGGCAAAATGGTTACAATTCAAATAGGATTTGTATTTGTTTGCCTTTTGGCTGAGCTGCGTTTGCTTTTCCGGCAAATAAATTGCAAGCGAAACTCAACTAAAGCCCACCTGCCTCTCCCACTCTCCCAGTCTCCCACTCTCATGCTCCCCCTCTCCCTCTCCCTCTGTGTGTGTGTGTGTGTGTGTGCACGCGGCATCCCAAAAGTGTTGGGCAAATATTCGGGGCCAGCTAGTTAGGACGCTAATTTGATGTGCTGCGAAAGTATCTTTCGGATACAGCGCCTGTTTGTGGCCGCGAGCCGCGCCCGATATCTGGGCAAATATTTGGGCGCACGCGGCGTATGAGCAATGTGCGCCAGTTGACAAAGACAGCCACAAAGCAGCGCTGAACTGCGAACGAGAATCAGCTAAGCGACTCGGTGTCTCTAGCATTTCTCAGAGCTTTTCGTTTTCTTTCTCTATGCATTTGTCCATTCACTTACATAGCTGAAATTACGTCGCCCCCTCCGTGTCCACTCTCAGTGATAATTATGATCAAATTGCAGCTTATTAGCGCCAAGGTGTGCCTTGTGCTACCTGTTCGCCGGCCAGGTGTTGAACGATGCCATCGCTGTTGACTTAGGACACTGTGGGGCTGTCTAGAGTTTTCCAACTCCTCCTGCTCTTCTTACGCGTCTTCATTTCATAAAGCCAGCGAACAACCTGGAATAGAGATGCCAATTATGAGAACCTGCCGAGAGCACTTGAAGTTATCATGGAGTGTGTGCCTCTGCCTAGAGTATTTGCGACTTCAATCGAGAGCCACAAAGAGCTCTGAGCTCTCGGCTCAAATTCCATCGAAGTCAACAATATTGAATTTGAATGAAAACTTCAGAAGCAACAGCTATACCTATATCGCATGGCATATCAGAGAGTTGCTGTGACCCCAGATCGAGTGCCAGGCGCAACTGAGCCCAGTGCTCGATAATGATGGACAAAGGACGTAATCAAGACAAATAGAGGTAATTCCTGTTGCGCGCCACCTCCAGCTGCTCCAGCTCCAGCTCCAGTTTCAGCTACAGCTACAGCCTTGAGGCTGAAGGTCCTTGGATCCTTGGATTGCCGCTGTCACGCTTGCAACATATTTGTTTAGGTCTCCACGCTATTTTCTGTTGTTGTTGTTGCTGTTGTTGTTGCTGTTGTTGCCGTGCCTAGTTTATCTCCATCTCCATCTCCGTCTCCAGCTTTATCTTGGCGTGCGTGTGTTCATGTTTTTTTATTGTCGCCAGCAATGATTTTCCTATGGACTACACACACACACACACACTCATATGTCCAGCTGTCTGTCCACCCAACTAACAAAAAAAACAAATACAAATACAAATACAGAAAAAACGCAAATACAAACACAAAACACAAATACAAATACAAATACAAAGACAAGCCAGCAAAGAGCTAACCAGCGTACCAGGCCTCGACTACGGCTACGGCTACGACTACGGCCATGGTCTCAGTCTTGTCCGCCGTACAACAGCTGGTTCATTGTATTGCAGTTATTGTATTTGAATTGGACAACTAATGTAAATAATACATCACATACCGTACGTGTCCCGGGATTATGTTGAAGTTTCAGTTTAACAGATTTCGTATTTATTTGGCTTTTTATTAACTTGACCAGCTCTGCAGGAGCGACTGAGCGAGGGAGAGAGAGAGAGACAGAGAGGGAGTGCTAGAACGAGAGGGAGAGAGAGAGAGACAGAGAGGGAGTGCTAGAACGAGAGGGAGACAGTGAGTATCCATATCTTGGCTATGTATCACAATTAGCATCATAGAATTTTCCTTGAAGTGCAACTGCGAATTAATTGGATTTATTTGAATATCATGTTCGATTTTTATGTTGAGCGTAAGTCGATTATTACCTCTGTATATCGATTGTTACTGTAATGTAACCTCTATGTTAACCTTTATGTTAAGATCGCTTCGGCTAAAATACGCCGAGCATTCTTATGCCCTTGCAGTGAATTGGGCAAACATAAGGAAGTCCAGTAAGTGTGTAATACAACGGAATCTGTAATACAATCAGAATAAATAATAGATTGTTTTCCTTTCAGCCACACTGGGGTATGCCCGAATCGAGAAATGAAGCTTTCAGCACGTGCTTAATGCTGCCAGCGAGTGCACTGTTAAAGTCCGTGACGACTTATCGATGTTATCGATTCATAGAAAAACGCAACTATATAATTTAAATTCTGTAAATTCTATAAATTATGCAAAATAGACAATGGGAGTTATTTTCAGTTTCATATACTGACCTGACACGTGTATATTGTATGAATGGCGCTCTATTACATACCTCTATCAATATTCGCCATATCAATGCTCTCTCTAAAAACCTTTTCTTTTAGTTTTATTAGCATAGGTATGTATGTAGCTTTGTCTTAAGGAATAACTGGTGCAATGAGATTCTATAGAAGACTTGCATTTCTTTCAGTTAAAGACACCGCCAAATATCAACTTGCAACTGATTATACTGCGATCAGCACAGCCAAATCTCTCAGTCGTATCATAGACAGTCTAAAAGCCGAGGAAACTGTGCCTGGCAGACCATCCTCTATGTTCTATCGTAAGTGCTATGTATCTGTATCGCTCTAGACTTTGCCCTGAGCTCTACTGAGATCAAGTTCATCTATTACAGATCCTAATCGGACTACGCTATGGAGGCCCTTCCTTAATTAGGCACTCTACTATGCTCTGCCATACCATTTCAAGTTGTCTGGCGACAGCACATATACTCCTTTCGGCCAGTGGGCGGGTATGCCAGAGTAATCCCATTCAGCACTGATGCCAGGACTCGATGGATGATAAGTACTTCGGTCTATCCATATTCAGGCATTAGAACTAATCGACTTTCTAATTGGAGTCCTGCGCTCGATTTGGCCAAATCCTTTATAATGTTGGAACGCCCCTATGACCATTTCGACTAATCCGATGTTTATTTGGCCATTGATTAATGTGCGGTGCCAGGGCGTCCGCAAAGGTCGTTGCCAGAAGTCTTCAATCATAGTTTGCTTGCTGTGTGTTGCCTTGCTGCTCGTTTCGGCTCTGCATCATCTTCATATATTTCTTATGCTTCTCATTTTTTTTTTTTTTTTTTTTTTTTTTTTGCCCTTGTGTGGATGAAAATACTTCTGGGCTGTTAAGGGTTTATTTATGCATAAAATTTATAGCATATAGCACGAGCATATTTGTGTCATTAGCCGCAAATTTTTGACCCATTTGTCATTAGGCTCGACTGTGGGGGATTTGCATAAAACAAACACACGATTGCCTAGAACACACACACACACACACATATGAGAGCGTTGTATGCGTGTGTGCGTGTGTGTTTGCTGTGCTGCTAAATGTGTGACCGACAAGATTTATCAAGTAATAACAGACATTTCGGACAACCCATAGACCCATTAGTCACACGCTGTTTGACATCGTCTGAAAATATCATTTTAATCACAGGCCAGCTAGCAGCTCCTGCTCCTGCTCCTGCTGCTGCTCCTGCTGCTGCTGCCATTCCATCTGCTTGCCTCTGAATGGCCATTGTCACGGTCCATCGCCCGGATGGCCAGACTGACAATGACCCGCACACACATGCTCACGTATGTAAATTATATATCACATGTGAGTTATGCTACTGGAATAGAGCAAGTGAAGGCGACTCGCTATGCTGCCTACCTCGGCATTCTTCTCAAGCATCAAGCATCGACATCTATCCACTGATTATCCAATTGACCTTTCTCAATTACTAATGAAGACGTGCGACCGCACTCTGTGTTGACTCTCCCATTTTAGGTTAGGTTAGGTTAGGTTACAAAATCCTTTCCAATATATTCAAGTCATTCTAGGAAACGGCAATGCCATGAAAATTAACTGCACCGAACTCTTTACAGCCATTCAGGCCTCATTGACTCAGAGGAGCAACATAATCGAATCGGAAGGAATAAAAAAAAAACAATTTAAACCATAAAAAAAAAAAAAAATTAAAAATGGAAAAAAATTTAATAAATTTAAAAAAAAATAGATATATATGTATTTATAATATAACTTTCTAAAATAAAATTAAAAAATAAATCACTAAATAAAGAAGTAATAATAAATTACAAAAAAAAATGCAATAAATAGAAATTGATGTAAATTTCTGGAAATTAAATTTATTGATACAGAAATGTGTATGAGTGACTCAGTTGATGTATGAGTTTCAGTATGTATGATGTATCAGTTGTTGATGCATTTGCATTCGTTTGCAGTCCAAGTTCATTCCAATTCCGAAAGGAATCTCACATATCTGTCAACGAGGAAGCTGCTCTCGCTCTTGCCATAGATGCGCCTGTAGGTCACGATGCTGTCCCTTAGGTTGAAGATGAAAGTGGTGTGGGGACAGTCAATGTTGACCATGGCCTTGCTAATCTCAGTGAGAAGCAGATGCATCGTCTGCAACGATTCGGATAGACTCCACGGTTGCTCCTAGATGGGAAAAAGAAAAAACAGAAACAGATGAGTTAATATCGATCGGGAATTTCTGAAGCTCTGCTTGCCTTAATCGCAGACTCCACGTTCACGATGGTAATCGGCTTGAGGATCATGCCCCTCTTGGTGGGGGCGAATTGCATCTCCTCTATGCCAGCCAGATAGGCATTGAGCAGCCAACGTTTCATGCGATAGTTGCGACGCCAGTTCGGAGCATGATGGGGATACAAGCGCACCGATGATAGACGGCATTGCTTCAGAACTTCCGGGTCATCTCTATCGAATGGAATGGAAAGGTATCACAAATGCCCAAGAGGCCTTTTACAAATGCTTACAGATCGCCCAAGGGCTCGGTGTTCTGCACTCCGAACACCTCGGCCGTGTACAGCAAACGGAATTTGCCCAACTTGGCCGTAAAGGTCCCTATATTTTGCTTATTGAGATCCACACAGGCGTTCATGTTGGGCATATCGCCAGGCTCATCTGTGAAATGCATGACAATGCGCATACGGATATCAGACTCGATCCGAATCGAAAGGGAAACTATGTAGAATCACATAAAAAAAAACACGTGCACTCACCGACATACAGATATTGACGCAACTTGAACAAACAGGACGAGTCCGACTTGATTAGGTAGTTCGGCAACGGTAGGGTCTTCAAGTAAATGGTGTTGCGATATCTAGTCGCCAGCACCGTAAAGTCGTTCTGGCACATCATCTTCAACAAGGTGCCGCTGCTGGTGCAAATATCGACATGCTCCAGCACGCTCAACGGGCGCTCCAACTGCATGATGTAGTTGAACAAGTGCATCCCGTTACCAGAGTAACGGTTCTCATATCTAACGAACGACTTGAAGCCCATCACCATGTCCAGCGGAAACTCCCTGTCCGAGGGTGCACGATAGTAGCCCAAGGTGGTGGGCTTCGAATAAGTCCTACCTTCGCTACAAAATACATGCACCATCTGCAGATCCGTAAGTTTCCATGGCAGATCGCTAGCCAACGAGCACAAAACTTGAGCCATTTTAAGGATTGGTTTTTTTTTTTTTTCCTTTTCGAGAACACAGAAAATTAAACGCAGGAATGAAAGCAGAACTGACTTTTCGCTCCACGTGGTTCAATGCAAGTGGCAGATTTTCATGCTGGAAGCATCGACGTTCCAGTATCGATGCTATGCCCGGAAAGTTCTAGCATCGATATTGGGCTTTCGTTAAGTCACCAGAAGGTTCTCGAATATGTTGGTGAGATTGGTAACCCTGCCTGAAAAAGAAGTTTCTTTTATTCTCGAAGGTTGTAACTTCTGCAATGCGAACATCATTTGTGATGCTGCCAAAAATACACAAATGCATAGTTAGCTTTCGATGAAGACATCAATATCGATGTTTTTCCAATAGCCAACATTTGCCGATATACATCGTTAAGCCAATTAAAAGGTTTATTAGTTAAGTTTATCGAAATAGAAATCAGAATCTTGGTAGTTTTCTACATTGTAGATTAACAGAGCTCAAGACGACGCTGTGACGTCACAAACTATCGCCGAATTGGACGGCCCACAAACCTATTGAACACTCTCGTGCAATTTCTAGTATTCCACAATTATTGTCATTGCTCAGCTATGTATTTACATACATATTATTAAGGCTCTTCCCTTCGCTTCTCTTCTCCTCTCTCTCTTTTCTACACTTCTCTCTATTCAGCTCTGCACAGAATTAGACAGAATTTTGGGAACTGCCAGGCAAGCAACTGCTATGTTTATTTGGAAATACTTGTACATGTATATGTACATATATATATGTACATACATATGATGTATGCTCATTCTACACACATACATATACATATACATACAGTTTGTCCAGAAACATTTAACATACTGTGGTTGCGTCCATAGGCCAAAAATCAAAATTTTCATCACAAAATATTTGGATTAAATGAAAACAAATTTTTACTGAACTATCCGTTCTCGAAACGCCAAACTAAATTTTTTCTGGATATCCAACGGAAGTTTCTAAAAATATATTTTTGCAGCCCGCCTGCACAGCTCAGCGCACTGGGAACAAGTGCAAAAATATTGGGCATCCATTAAAATAATTAAAAAAAAAAAAAAAAAAAACTTTAAAAATTTTTAAATTCTGTTTTTATATCTATTAATATCCTATAGGATCATTCTTTTGGGGAGGTTAATTTTGTAAGCTGTCAAGAAACTGTTAGCCAATTGCATGTTCCAATTCCATTTCACACTAATTTTTCGAATATGAAAAGTTTTTTTCAGTGTATAACGTGTTTCGCGATAAATTCGACGTACAAATATAGAGTAGAATCCGGTTATAACGACCTCGCTTATAGCGTCTCTACGTTTATAGCGACGAAAATTCTGTTCCCCAGACAAACTTTTATGAGCAAACTTATACGGCTATAGCGCCTTCCGGGTATAACGACGGTACCTTGAGTGTCGTTATAACCGGATTCTACTGTATACATATGTATGTATGCATGTTTGTATATCTATGTATGTACATATATGTACATCACGATATGTACATCATAGATGCTTGAAAAGTTTTATATGTATGTACATACATACATACAGATATTTTACCCAAAAATAAAATTGGAATTCAATTAGTTTTTGTTAATTTCATTGGATTATATCTTGGAGACACTCAACCAATAAATTGTATCCATTCTCCAATATACATTCCATATGTTCATACATATGTATTGCATGCATATACACATATATGTATGTACATATGTATGTATGTATGTATGTTTGAATCTGAGCTTTAAGAACAGTTGAACTCGAACTGATGTATTTACATCAGTTGTATGTATGTGTGTACATAGTATATTTATAACGCATACATATGTATATACATACGTATGTATGTATTCTTAATTACATACATATGTGTATGTATGTACATATGAGTGAATTTTGCAGCTAGCAGGGAAATATTATGGATAAGTGAATAATCATGGAAAATGGTTAGAAAGCGAGCAGCAGTTATCACTCGAGTGAGGAATTACTACACACGTGTGAGTGTGTGTGTGTGTGTGTGTGTGTAAAACGTATGTAGATCTGATAGTGACGTGTGCGTGTGTGTGTGTGTGTGTGTAACAAGGATTAGGCGATGGAGCGATAGAGCGATAGAGCGATAGAGTGGATGGAGGAATGAACAATGATTGATTGTATTACGGAATCCATAACAACAGGCCGGGCGTAACAAATCTGTAATGCAAACACGAAACACTCGTGGCCAATGTGTCGTATGAGAGATTACATGCAATCATTTTTGCAATCAGGCAAACGACAAGAGACAGCCCGGCGCCGACTAACGGACGGACTGGCTAACAGACTGGCCGACGGACGGACGGACGGCTGACTGAGTGCATGCTGAAATAGTTATTACATTTAAAATAAATGACATTTAAATTGAAGCTTAGACAGAGCGTGACAGAGGCAAACAATAAACAGAAACAACGAGAACAAATACGAAAGAGACATATAGACACATACGACACACACACACACACACAAACACACACGACACACACATAGCATGCGAGCCTTGTCAGCGGCAGTTGGCTGGGCTAATGCCCAACGATTGCATTGGCATAGCAAGAGCCCAAGTATATTGTCATTTGATTAGATTACAACACAACTTTCGTTCGCTCTCACTCTCACTCTCACTCTCTCACTCTCGCACTGCCGCAGCCGGCATCTGCCCTCTCTGTCACGCTGCTGCTTGCTTGTAAGCTGTTGATCTGAAAGCAAGGACAACGGCTCTTGAGTGCCAGTCCCGTTGATATACCAACACCAGCTGCAACTCTCTCTCTTTCTCCATCTCTCGTTCTATCTCTCTCTCTCTCTCTCGCTCTCTGACCACTTCTTCTCTGCCTTTACAGACATTGACAGCAGCTTGGACAACTCCATGGGCAGCCGCAGTCAGGAAGTCATCACTAATGCCACTGCACCTCTCTCCCTCTCTGTCTCTCTCCCTCTCTATCTCTTTCACTCACTTTCTGTCGCTGCAACATTTCATTTTCAGACTCCTGACTCAGGCTCTTTAAAATTTCATTTACATTTACATGAGCATGCGGCTGGGCTGACAATCCGGATACATCTTGGTCTCGTCTCATGTCTCTCTCTCTCTCTCTGTCTGTCTCTCTGTCTGCAGCAGCTGCTGCTTGGTCTGATGCCCCATTTGATTGTCACTCTCGAACTGTTATCATATTGTAAGGACAAATTAATTGTAAAGTCATGTAATTGTTTGACAATGTTCGCCCCGAATCATAAGTCTTTCGGCCACATGTACCTATGCAGTTGCCAAGCAACATGGCCACAGACAGACGGATAGACGGACAGCTAGACAGACAGATAGACAGAGAGTGAGAAACACACACACACACACACAGATACAGATTCAAGGAACAACGTTGACGACAGACAGCAGCCCACAGTTGCGAATATTAGTGGAATATTATAGCTCACTCGATGCTGCAGATGCTATATACGATATGTATACTATATATGTGATACGGGGGGGTGTGAAGGAGTGGGAAATATCCTGAAAGCTGCATAGAGCTGATATTACAATCGTCGCAAAGATAATGAATAATTGCAAAGATATTTGTCGAAGCATAAAACTCTAGAGTTCTAAAGGGGATATTCGCAAATGTCAATCCAAAATTAGTAAAATCGATCAGCAGATGGGAAAGATATCGATTTCCTGCTCAAGGATATATATACCTTACGATATCTGTTACACACTCTTTCACAAAACCAATATACCTAAGCTGCCAATTGCCTAGAGGGTATTAAGTAAAAATGCATGCTCTATTAAATCTCATCACATAAAAAAAATAAACAAACTTTACAAATGAATATCATAAGCACTCTGAATAAGTGGATTTAGAATATATTTGAAATATTTAGTCATGCATGCAGGAACACACATACACATCTATGTATGTATATGCAGTATATACAGATATAAGTTGGCTTTATAATTTGGTTTATGGACTCAAATGAAAATGATTTTGCAAATCCTTTTTTATTGCATTTGTCGAGTCGAGTCGAGTCGAGAGCTGAGATAATTCAAAAATTGACAAATCGAATCCCATAAACAATTTGTGCAATCGAATTTGGGTAACTGAGCTGTTGAGCATTAATGGGGTTAACAGACATTTAGCCACATAATTAACGGGGCCAGTGTGCGACGTAATCTGCTAAGGATTATTTATTATATTTACGCCTGTTTTAACAGATATGACACTACACAGGGCATCAGCATACATGAATGCATACATACATACATATATAAATATATACATATGTACATATATTCATATATACATATGTACATATATACACTAAATGAGGCAACATGTACATTATCTGATAACTGTTTTTGCCAGCTAACGGCATCATTAACAACAACAACAGCAACAAGAAGAACAGCAAACGCCATTCGGGACAATCATTTTTGCCGCTTCCGGTTCCGGTCACACACACAAACACACACATACGCAAGCACGCACGCTCAACTATGCGATATAAATGATATGACGTGATTACGCTGTGTATACACACACACACACATGCTTGTGTGTGTGTTTGTGTACACATTTAGCTGGAAGCGGGAGTTCGAAACGATTAATTATCAAATTGTTTTGTTCGTGATTGTCTTTGGTGCCCTCTGCGCTATGCCCCGATAAGCACAAGGATAACAATAATTATGCTGGCTGCCTGCATTGCTCCCTCTCGATATATGTATGTGTGTGTGTGTGTGTGTGTAACATGTTTGCCTATGCATAAGTGTATTTTCAACTCAATTTAATGCCATCCTAATTGGCCCCTAGCCTTTTCAATTGCTCCATTTGCATTTGATATTGAATTTGGTCAACACAAATTCAGGAATAGCAAATCTTCAGCATGTTCAGCTTAACTGAACTCCATGGAGTGGGAAACATGATGATAATCGTGTTTAATTTTACCCATATACCATATATAGAAGCACATACATATATAAGAAAAAACTCAAAGCGAAATTCGAATTATTTTTATGCTTAAATAAGAGATATATTATATTTATACTTACATTGCATACAGATATTATTTTATAAAACAAAAAAAAAAAATAAATGAAAAAAAAATAATAATATATATGTATATATGTATGTAGATATCCATATATAATATGTTTATATATGAAAATATCAAGTAAATGCTATATTTATATATGTACATATATATATATATTTATACAAATTATCAAATATATAAATATATTACACTTATATTAATATTACCTACATATATTAATATCCTTCTATTACATGTATGTATGTATGTATGTATGTATGGATACATCAATTCAATGAAACTTGCAAAAACTTTTCAAATTAAATTCGTTTCTTTTTCTTTTTCTTTTTTTTTCCTTTTGGCATTTGAGACATCAATTCTGAGTGACGTTGTTTTCATTGAAGAATTCGTATTGGAATCCATTTGTATTTAGCTTTTTAATTGCTAACGCAGAGTGGGGGGAGGGAAGGGCAAAGGGAAAGAGATGGGCAATCAGCATTTGGCGAACTGGACAGCTCAAAGGGTTGGGCTTTTGGGAGGGGCGGGGGGGTGGACGTGACGCGATGCGATGCGACGCGACGCGACGCGACGAGAAGATGGACCCACATCAATGGGCTGTCAACGCGTCGAGATCGTTATGGCCATCACAGAATACTCGGTTGTTGGCCATTTTAATTGCATGGCCATTGGCCAAAGTCATGCATTTTTCAAGTCATCAGCATTTCAATACACATCAACACACACACACACACACACACCCACGCATGTGTGTTTTTATATGTTTTTTGCTGCGAATAGAGCGCGTGCCTAGAAGTCTAACGCTCGCTCGTTAGTTTTACAAGCTACATTTTTGGCATGATAGTAAGCGCAATTTTCAAAAAAAAGAAGCGGCAAATTTCTAAAAAAAAAATAGAGGTTGCAAATACCCTAGGAAATGCGTGCTTGACGACGGGCAACGACAAATTGTTAATGGAATGAGTGAAGGAAAATGCACGCCAGTTGGCAAAAAATGAATGGAAATCGCATAGTTCAAAATCAGCTGGCTATAAAAATACATAAAGTATCGGGGTAAATCTTTTTACTCGTAGCTCTATAGGAGTAAAACAATTTGAAAGTGAATCCTATAAGTTTTGAATCGAATGAACAATGTCAAATTGTTAACAATTTGCTGCCAACTTAAAGCGAATGCGAATGGGCCGAGCTGGGATCTTAAAAGGCGCAAATGTACCCAAGAATGGAAAAGAATCCCATGCACTCTACACAAACTTGGAGTTAAGCTCAGTTCTCAATTCGCAGTTATTTTAAGTAAAAATGAGAGTTTCAGCTATATTATAAAATTATTTCATATATGTATGTTATCCGAATGAATTAATTGATTCTAATGTCAAATATATATATGTAATATCATATGTCTATGTAATATTATTTGTAAGAATTTAATAAGTCAAATAAGTAAATTTATAGTCGTGAGAAATTGACAGAGATAAAGCTCATTATCTCATTAGATCTCATTAATCGAATTGGCCGAATTTAAGTAGACCATTACGAGTAAGGGAATATCACTATAGCTAACTATCGATACTTACCTAAAGCCATCGATACTTACATAATTATGTCATCGATACAGAATGCGAATGGCATGAATAGAAGAAGAAGAATTCGCGAAGACAAAGCATAAGATTGGTTCAGTTAATTAAATAAAGCCTTAAAATACTGGCTAAAGGTTGGATGCATTGAGAGTCTATTCATCTATGATAGGCTATATCGCCCAACGAGAGGAATCACTGAACCTGCGTAGGTATGGAACTAATTTTCTCACAAAGCAGTCAGCTGCAGTCAATTTGCCTTTGTTAGCATTGGACTGCACCGCAAATCCCCAGAGTCAACATAAGAAAGCCGGAACAGGACGTTGCCTTGTGGCTTTGCTGTTTAGATAGAGGCTCACAGCAGGTGCATTGTGTTGTGGTCACCTGGCTAAGGTATCTGCTTTTAAAAGTCTGCCTGCTATCAAGTTAGTCGATGTCGGTAGCACTCGGAAATGGGTTTTCCCACTGACACAGCCAGGCAGACGCCTCTCTCTCTCCTCTCTCTCTCCCTCGCTCTTTGAGCAATAAGCCACTTTGGATCATGAGCAACGACAATGATATATGTATAGTATAGAAATGATATTTTTATGTGTCAAGTCTGGATAAATTGAATGAGCAATGCATCAGCTAATGCTCGATTCATATTTTTTTTATTGTCAGCCGAATTACAAAATACAAAGTTAGCTCTTTGATGTACTTTGTATACATGTGTATACACACATAAATATATGTACATGTATATGTATGTATGTATGTATGTCTCGATTGGGTCAAAGTGAATTTTTAAGCTGTAGTCATTTTATAGCTGGGGTTTCCCGCTTTCACTTTTATTGCTGCATCGTCTTTTGTATTTTGTTTTGTATTTCAACCCAAAGCTTTATAGGGTATGTTGATGTTCTTTTTTTTTATTGCTCTCTATGCTCGTTTATAAAGCATAGAGAGTATCTTGGTTTCTTATTCAACATGCATTGCTTGGGCTTATAATTGACTGAGAATGAACTAACGGTTTAACTTCCTATAAATTATGTTCGGGTTGCAGGTGAGCTACTCTGTAGAAATTATTAAGGAACGAGCATTGAGAATATGGCTAATTGAAATACGAACAATATTATTCAAAGTGCTGGAGCTGGGAACAGTCAGTTATGCGGTTCTTCAGATCTAAGCCTGCTTTACAGGAAGACTTGAAAGTCGTGGATTAATAGCCTAATCTGCATTAAGTCGACTGTCGTGTTTGGACTTGTTATACCCTGTCTTGGAATTTTTGTATTTGTATTTGATGTATGTGCTATAGATAAATAATTAATATAAATGCAAATACATATACATATACATACATATTTATATACTCTAAGATCTCACCCTAATCCCAGCTGCTTACTGAATTATTGCTTCTGCTATATAAGTACATATTTAAAACTCCTATATATCCTATATAAATATGCATTCATCATTAAGTAGAATATTTTCATGCATCTGCTCATTCAATTCATTTTCACTGTAACTACAGGGTATCTGTAGTTCATCCCTGCTTGGCGGATCCACATTTTCGCTCGTGTTTGTGTTATGATTACAGTGAAGCGCCGAGATTGAGAGACTGCCACTCATATGTTAATGTGCTGCCCTCGCTCTCCGGCATATTCAGCATTTCGATTTTACGCTCTCCCTGCAGTCGGTGTTGCCTTTGTGCGTACGTACGTACATACGTATATTAAAAATTTAATTAAATCAACATACATAAATAAAGAAATAATTTTGTTTGACGCTACGCATTGCGCGAATACCCGAATTCAAATACAAAGTGAAAACATTATCAGCAGCAGAGGGAAGAGCTCCACAGAGGAGGACCGAGGCGTGCCAGGCATCGGGGGCGAGACATTGACTCTAGAGTATTGCTGTCGCTCCTGCTTCAGCTCATGCTCCTGCTGCTGCTCCTGCTCCTGCTGCTCCTGCTCCTGCTGCTGCTGCTGCTGCTGCTGCTCCTGCTTCTGCTGCTGCTCCTGCTTTCACTTTCACTTTTGCTTTTGCTTTTGATTAACATATTTCTTTTATCTGAGGAGTCGCAACTGTAGCGAGCTGCGAGCGGGTGCGAATAAGCATGATATTGAAGTTATGAGAATATTTGAAAACATTTTTCAACGGCCTCGACAGCAAATCAAAATGTTCATGCCCGGCTACATATTGACTTACCCAGTGTGTATGTGCATACATACATACATACATACATATATCCGACGACTGTAATCAATACAGAAGCAAATCTGTCTCGCAGTTTCCAGGAAAACACACACCAAAAGAAAACTTTTTTAATTAAAGCCAAAATTGATAAAGAAAATAAGAAAAACAACAACAACATTAAGAACTTAAATGAAAATAATTCCATGTATAATATATTTAACTGACCAGAACATGAAATCTATGTTATATAGTCTTAGTATCTCTTTAAAATATCTTTTATGTGGGTTACTTTCTGTAGACGCTTCGCATACCCCTTACTTAATAAAATATCCAAAGCATCTATTATTAAATTTCGGACTATTGAAATGTCTCAAAGTGTGTTGAGAAAGCAATAAGTGAAAGTGCTCTAAACGGAACTGGACGACTAGCAAATACCCTAAGGACTACTAGAAAATACCGATCATATTCAAAGGTCTAAGGGGATCCCACATCCTGGACTCTCCAAAAAGATAGTAGTGTATGTAAATATTCGATCCGATTAATTGTAGTTAAGGTTAGTCGATTAGCCTAATATATATTAAATAAAATTTGGATTGAATCCATACATATAAACATATATACCCTATACAAACAGAGTCTATATATAAAACATATTTACCCTAGACACATATACACTACCCCTGTGCATACATTTCTCATCAAGCTACCCGCTCTTTACAGGGTATATTGCAGTCGTTCATTATGTCGCCACACTCTCCGCTGTCTTTTGTGGCACTTTGTTTATTTTAAACGATTATTCCGCTTCATTACCGTTAAATCGCTTAGACGGCAGCCTTTTGTATGTGTTTCCATCAGCTTTTTCTCTATTTTGTTCTATATTCTTGTTCCTTTTTATTGTTCCTCTTCTTTTTTTAATTTAAAGGTATTATAGATTATACTTTGTCCCTGGTCCGACACAATTTAGTGGTTCACCAAATCAATTTGCCATTGATGCCCCAAGTGCTTTTGAAGACACACACACACACACACACACGCATACATACAAATTGACAATCTATATCAATTGAGTTATGTAAACTTGGCCTGGACACAGGACTTTAAGAGATAAGACCACAAAGCTTTTATAAAGGATTCTATGCTGCATGTAGAGCGGCTGAGGTGATAAGTCTACGGCCAGGTTTGCAAACTGATGTAAGCAATACCTGTTTCAATGTAAGTAAATATTATATACTCATTCATATATACATACATAGGTTATCAGTTAATAATATTATTATCTACAACAAAGAATCTTATTGATTGCAAGCCTGTGCAGAGTTGTCGTGGAGCTATATTCCAAGTTGGCAGCACGCTTCTTAGTAGACTCAGCTTGGCACTCCACGTGAGTGAGACAACCATAGCTGTTGCTGAACATGCACCCGGATGCTGTTCAGTGAGAGTGAGATGGCCTGTAGGCTTCTCTCTCAGACATATAAACTCGTTGGAAAGTGATAATCCTGAGCTATTTCCAATATACATAGGTTAATATTGGTGCAGGCCAGTGTAGGATTTGAGGGATCAGCACTATGGTTGACCATCGATAAATACACATCTATAGGTAGTTAACCATATCGATGGCTGAGGAAGTCGATACTTGGCGTGCCAAGATGAAGATGAAGAGAAAGATGGGCAGATGGGTAAAAGCAGCTCATTGAGGTGAACCGGCTCACTCGCTCTTTTTTGTGAAGTGAGCCAACTCACTAATTCGGCTCACTGGCTCACTGGCTCACTTGCTGATAGCTCATGAGCCGATAGTGATCGTAAACAAAATTAACCAAAATGAGCGAGTAAGCAAAAACGAGCTAGTGAGCCAAAATAAGCCATATTGAAGGAACAAGCTCAGTGGCTCAGTCCAGTGAGCCATTCATTTTGGCTCACTCACTCATGAGCTACCCAAGTCTAGAGCTCAGTTGAAGCTGAAGGAGTTGAGTTTAGAGTTGAAGAGCTAAGACTTGGGAAAGAAATTAAAGCGAAATAAAGTTACGATATAAAAGCCTCGTACAATATGTATAACCAACCCTGTATATAGTCTCATGGTTCAATCGATTGTTTGCTCGAATCTGTATGAGCTGTAGATCTTAGGGCTTACAGCCAATCAAGAGTTATTTTTCTCTAATCAAATAAAGCGATATATTAATATTTGTGTTAATCTTTTATTTCTTTGTTGCAGCATCAATAATATATATGAGGATATTTAGTAGACATGTATCGGTATCATTAATCAGTATTCATTTGAAGACGAAGTTCTCAGAGCTCAAGCGTCACTCTCTCTGAGCTCGCTCTGCCTTTTGTTCGGCAAGAATCTAGTTTCAAGAGCTACTTAATCAGAGTCTCTCTCTACTCCAATTTCTAATATAAAATTCGATTAATTTGAAATGCAATAGTTTTTTATAAAATGCCGTTGAGCAGCATAAAAAGGCGAATAATAAAGATACATATTGTGACTATATACATACATGTATAACAAATGTGGTATAGTGTGAGTGCGTGCGTGGGTTGTTTCATCAAATAAAAATGTTGTTTACAACTCGAGTTTTATGAAATGTGAAATGCGAAATGCGAGAAATGTGAACGGCATGGCAACTACCCTAGGCGGCCAATAAATAATGGGGCAAGTGCAGTTTCAAATCGTCCACTAATGGAGGTGCTCAATCGCTGATGGGGCAGGCAAATCGCCGCCACTTTATGTTGCATAATGTATTGACTTTGCCTCGGCCCAATTGTGACTGCCACCACTCCCCACCACCACCACAAGGGGGCGACTGCTTGTTGTTGCTGTAGGGGCTCACTGGGTGTGGGGAGGCAATTGGCAAACATTCTAAAAGTTATTTGGCAGCTGCTCTTTGCGAAGCATCGCACACACATTTGAGTGCTGTTCCGCTGCTGTTATTGTTATTGTATATATTATTATTATTATTATGATTATTGTTATTGTTTTTGCATTTTAAAGCAAATGGACTTTTATGCGTTTTCCTGTATGTGTCTGTCTCATTTTGGCCATCTCTCTCTCTCTCTCCCTCTCTCTCGCTATCCCTCTCTTGCTCTCTTAAATTAGCCCAGAATGATTTTGGCAGTCTTTTGCCATACAATTTGATGCTTCTTTAACTGCCTGTCCGTCGCCCATCAATTTTACTTACTGTACAGTCAAGCCTCGCAGCATTCGCGCACATAAAAACACAAATTTCCGCATAAATTACCAGCTCAACATTTTTTGATGGCTTTTCTTCGGCCTCTTCTTACGCATCTCTACGGGCTCTCCTTCTTCCTCCTCCTGCCGATTATTGCTGTTATTCTCGGTTTGCTTATGTGTAAGCATACGTAATTGATGCGTTTATATAAACATATATTTCTTTATTGAAAGCTGCTCTTCATAATGCCGAAGATTTAATACCCTCGGCCATTGCACTTCATAGGCGAGGTTGTAGGCCCTTTCCCGTTCCCTTCTTCTTTTGAGACTATAATTTTATGTTTTAAATATGATTGTGCTCTAGCCAAAGATATTCCAGTTATGAGTAAACTGGGGGAAAATTCGAAGCTTCTTTGATTCTATATTTATTTTTAAGAAATTATTTTTGATAACAAAATTTTTTTAAATGTCTATGCGGAAGCATTTAGAGAGTTGCTTTAGGTATTCCAATTATTTTTTATAATTTTTAAGATATCCCAGAGCAATGTGGCAAGTTTTGAGTTCCCGATAATCTTATTCCATTCAAGTCACAATCAGTTGTATATTTTGAGCAGACCTCTTAGCTTTAAGATTATATAGAGTCAGCATTCCGCTCAGTTCACTTGGACGAGCTCCGGTAGCTCTTCAATTTTTGTCAATTGTCAGAAGTTTAGTAATGAATATCTATTGCTCATGATTTTGCAACTTGAGAATTACGTAGAAGGGCGCAACATATTTATGTTAGTGAAAAAAAAAATACGAAAATTCTATAAAATGCATAAGTACCTCTGTGATAGCGCTTAAATGAGTCAAAAGTTTAAGCAAACGGAAGAACAAGTTTTGCCCCATAAACTCAAATAATACAAAGATATATTCAAGTCATGTTATGAAGTCTGCCTGTCTATCTGTAGCAGACGAAAGGTAAAGCATCAACTTTATATCTACATAGCTCAAGTCTCACAACAATTCGTTTGCTTAAAGGGCAATTAAATTTGACAATTATTGCCGGACATTCATTTAGATGTATGAGTTTTTTACTTTTGCTCTGCTCTTTTATAATGTGAACAGGTGGTGGAGGGCCAGAGAAAGGAACAACAACAAATCAGAAGAGGCGGTAGAGGCGGTAGAGGCGGTAGAGGCAGCCTAGCGATAAGGCCATAAAATATGTTGTACGCCAAGGGCTTAGAAAGTGTTTTACGTGCGTTTTATGACATGACATGACATGACCCAGCCAGCAGCTAGCCTTGCGCTGTCGAATGTGACCTAAATACATACAGACAGACAGACAGACAGATAGAAATACCTACATACATACATCTATGTAAACATACACTGTAGCGAGAACTAGCAATGCCTCTAAGCTCTCAGCCAAAGTCGAGCCAATGATGATTAGCGCTGACCTCTGGCCTTGATAGCGCCCGATCGGCCTGATAAGCAGCGCTGGAAATATGGAACTACGCATCGAGGCGTTCTTAACAATGCGAATTTAATGCCGCTCACAGTCGCAATACGAATTTAGAGCTTCGCACACGCTGAAGCTCAGTCGAACTAAAAGAAAAAAAATAATGAAACTATTGCACGTTGTGCTGCTTTGCCTGGGTCTGTGGCTCTGCCTGTGTCCGGTTCCTGGAGAGGCGCGACGACTGCAGCGCGAGGCTAATGCGGCGCCCGAGCCGGTGCTGAATGCGGAGCTGGCGGCCGGTGAGTCGCTGAAGTCGGAGGAGTTTGTGTCGGATGCAACGACCACGCCGAAGCCGCTGGGCATTGTCTCCATCAAATCGCGGGCCATCGCCATGGACCGTGCCCTGTGCAAGGAGCAGTCGCGCTACCATCCCCACTTCCCCAAGTGCTATCAGTACTGCAAGCGGCTCGACCACTGGATTGGCCAGTGCTGGCGCGAGAGCTGTCACTGCATCTCCTGAATGCAACGCAGCTAAACTACCAGTTCCAGTTCCAGCTCCAGCTCCAGCTCCCGCTCCATTCACATTTCCAGCCCACCTTGCGATGCAGACCCAGCAACTGTTCCAGCACGCAACTGCTCCAGCTCCAGCTCCAGCTTCAATCCCAGCTGCTGTTTCTGTATCTAGTTCATCTTCAATTCCAGTTTTAGTTCCAGTCATCATGCTCCCGGTTCTAGCTAAAGTGCACAATGGATTTAGTTTCAGCTCGAATTCCAGCTTTAGCAACTGCATCAGCTTCAGCTCCAGCTCAAGGGATCTAGTTGCAGTTCTAGTTCCAGCTCAGCATTACTCACTGACTCCAGCTCAAGTTGCAACCTAAGCTAGTTCCATCCACAGTTCTACTTCCAGCTCCAGTTCCTAGACTAGTTTCCTCAAATTTGCTACTTGCGGTTCTAGATCCAGCTCCGGTTCCAGTTCCAGCTTCATTTCCAGCTCCAGTTGCAGCTCCGGCTCCAGCTTTAGGTTCAGCTCCGGTTCCAGCTTCAGTTCCAGCACCAGTTCCAGCTCCAGTTCCAGCTCCAGTTCCAGTACCAGTTCCAGCTTCATTTACAGTTGTAGTTCCATCTGTACTTCCAACTTCAAGTCCAACTTCAGGTTCAGCTCCGGTTCCAGCTCCAGTTCCAGCACCAGTTCCAGCTCAAGCTCCAGCTCCAGTTCCAGCTTCATTTACAGTTGTAGTTCCATCTGTACTTCCAACTTCGGTACCAGTTCCAACTCCAGCTTTGGCTCCAATTCCAGTACTATCTCTATGTGCAACTAGTTCCAGTGCCTGTTGCCAATCCAGCTTTGGCTCCAGTTCCAGTTCAATCCCTACAGCTACAGCCAGCTCCCGTTCCGGTTCCACTTCCGTCTAAAAATCCAGCTCTAGTGCAGGCTGCAGCCTCCAGCTTAAGCTCTATTAACAACTTTCACTGAACTTCAGCTTCTGCTCCGGGTCCAGCAACTACTCCAGTTCCGACTGCACCCTCAGCCGGCACTACAACTGCTCCAGCTCTTCCGTCAACACTTCAACACAATTTCCAGCATGCTCACCTTTGCCAGCTTGCACCGCCTCCTCAGCCGGAGGTCCACTTGCAAACTTTGTACTTACATAATTCTAAGATTTGTTTCATTAGCTGCCCATTACTCACACTTATCTGTGCACTTGTGCCTCGCTTCTCTCTTGTGCACCGCCTGCCATTCACACTTATCTCTCTGTTTGCATCCGCACTAAGCCTTAGCTTTACAAGATTTCGAGTTTCTGCTGATTAAAGATGCAACAAATGTTGTTGAGCTAATTTCCTGTGCCTAATTAATAAGTTCAAGTTTGTTTTCATTATTTCTATTTGATTTTCATTCAGCCATATCATATCATTGCCATGGCGAATTAAGGTTTCTCTGAATTTGCAGCCCAATTACAGTAATTAAAAATTTATATTCAAAGTGAGCGGAGCGTGATGAGCTTCCGTTCCGGGAAATGCGAGAGGATTTGCTAAACAGTAGTTTAAAGCGCTCTAATGCTGATTCATGAATGAGCTGGCTTGCGAACCAGTTCAATCGACACAGCTGTAATCGCATCACATTCGCATAATCAACTGGAACATCTCATTGAATATTTCAATATTCCGGCGAATATTTGGAGTTAGTATCCCACCCTCCCCCCTCCTTTTATGCGAGGTGCTCAAATTTCTTATGTATTCAATGATAAATATGCATGCAGATGGCAAGCTTTAGCTGGAATTGTCTCAATTGGGCGTGGCAATATACTTTGATATGTGCATATGTAAGTGTGAGCCAAAAATAAAAATCCGCACATTTTGCAAATTTTGCACGAATGTCCAAAACCCTTTCACATACATGCATATAAGTGTGTGTGTGTGTGTGTGTGTGTGAAGTGTCGGCTGCTAGCTCTGTCCCTACCTCTCCCCCCCCTCTCCCCACTCTCTCTCTCATATGCTAATTTAATAGTAAACAGTGGCAAAAATATGCGCCCAGTACATAGCAGCAGGGGACACAAAACGACCCAAAGTAGGGGACATCTCTGAATGCGCACACATGTAACGAGTGACAGTTACTAATAGCACACACCAACACACTCGCACACACACTCATTCACATCCTTTAGTGGTATGCTGTTGTGCCATAGTAAGCACACAATATGCATATTCATGAACTAAGTGGCTGCATTTTCAGCGCGCGCGCGTTTTTTCAAAAAGATTCTTTGTGCAAATTGCGAGCATTAAAAACAAAAACAAACAACAACCAACAACAACAAACAAAACAACAACAAAATGGGGTTTTCGTTATAGTTTGCTGTCTGCATTTTGTTGTTTTCGTTACATTTTTATTTTTATTTCTGCTTTTTTTTTCACTTTTTTTTTTTTTTTTTTTTGCATTTTTACACCAGTCTACAGTGCTGCCAAAAAGTGTATGCACACAGCGCGCCATTCGCGTGTCACACATCTGACTTACACGATTGTTAAGTTCGTTTTTTTTTCGTTCCCTTTTCTATAAACATGATATTTTAACTAGCACCCAACGGCATGCAATGGAGCTTACCAATAGCGGGCACTAGCGACCAGTGTTGTATAGCTGTTAATAAGAGATACTCTGTGAGATTATCTGGCTAAATTATTAACAGAATTCAATTCAGAATGAAGCCAAGGAATTAAGGCAATTATCGAAGCGAATAATGTTTATATTTATTTTTATACGATTATTTAATAGAAAAATAATTTTCAGTAATTCGGTTCAAGCATGTATTATGGGGTAGAAAGAGGTCAGTATAATATCTGATTACATTCCGTCATATTCGTCTTGCGTCCCTCTTATCCTGGAACTAGATCAGAACTAGCAGCTCATTCAATTGAGCCATATCCATTTTTCCTGCTATTCGTTTGTCCGTCCGGGTATCCGTGCTTCCTCCCGTAATATTCATCTATCCATCTGATTGGACTGCATCAACTTCAAACGCCGATTCCATATTTGTTAAATACATCATTCCAATCGAATAAAAGCTCGCCCTTAACGTTCATCTGTTAAATCGTCCGTCCGTCCGTCCGTCCACTCACATATTTCATATATTCGTCCGTCCATCTTTTCATTCAGCCATTCGACTCTGAGTCAAGTGAAAATCGTATTCAGCTTTCAGCTTTACTCAGCTAGGCATAAATCAATATAAGAGACATACAACGTATGTGTGTGTGTGTGTGTGTGTGTACGCAAATAGTTGAAGTGGAAAGCGCGTTACGGCTATTTCAGATAACTGTCAGCCGCTATCACTAGGTAGTATCAATTAAAGAGGCGTTCCCCGAAATGATTAGCACCGCTTGACACTAACGAGGAGCGAACGTGGAATGCCGCATTATTAGCCCATTTGATTGATCTGATTGTCTTCCCATTCAAATTTAATGAGCTACGAGAAATGCCAAAAATATATGCTCAAACACTGAAATATTTCCAGACGACTCAAAGTGTCACATGGACGCGTTCAATGAGGACGAAATGTGAAATATGAAATGGCAACTGTGAGCATTATGCTTGCATACCCTGTAGTCGATGTGGTGCTAAGCTGAAGCTGTTAGGCAGGGGAATTCTATGATGCATAAGTCTGACATTGGAAAGTACCTAAGATCTAAAAGATATTATATATGAGAGAAAGATAAGGAATATGTGTGTATAATCGAGATTCATATAGAGTATCTGCTAGTCGAGCGTTGCTCACTTCCTCTCTCTCTCTCTCGCCCTCTCTCTCTCCCTCTCTTTCTCTGTCTATCTCTGTTTGCCGCAGCACTTTGGGCCGTGTCTTTTTTGTCTTTCTTGTGGGTCCACTGGTTCAACTGATTTAGCTCAATAATGCGACGCGTCTCTCACTTTGATAAGGGTCCCGTTGTCAACAAATAATAACGGCAACAGCAACAGCAACAGCAACGGCAACGGCAACATCAACAGCGGCGGCAAAAACAATAAGTGGCAGGACAGCAAACACGAGTTCGTTATCTTTACCGCAATGTAAACACTGCCACACGATTTTGACGGGGTGGCAACGCTGCGCCGCAAATGCCAAACAGCCAAACAAAAAGCGTTAACAACTGATACAGATTTAGAGAAATATACAAGCGCTAATAGCTGAGGCACATTGTATTATAATATGTATAGGAACAAAAAAATATATATAGGCTGCTCTTGTTTATAATAATGAAAATATTCTTTAACGCTTAAAGTTTTGCTGAGCAACTGACATATTCTGAATTTAGTTTAAAGTCTAACAAAGTCATAGAACTTTTATGGATTATATATAACCCTGAACCAATTGAAAATAGAGGCCAGATATAAGCCAGAAGGAGGCGGGATGAACCTACTGAGTATATATATTCCTGATCAGGATGTCATCATCCGAGTGAGTCGAGCTGTGTTCGTAGTTCGGAAAATCTCCTAGTCAGACACACCCGATCAGAACTCTCTTATATCTTCAGTTCATGCCAATCTTCACCTGAATCTTGCCTTTAGATACAACAGAGTGTAGTTCATCTTAGACTCGAAAACTTCCCAAAGATATATCGCAATATAGTCAATGTAATGTCATATCATGCCACATCAATTTGAGCCTCAACCTCGGGATATACTGGATCTGGGAGCTATGCCTTAAAGCTGTCCAGGCAGCCGAATGGGCTGCCCAAAAAGTCTTGGGAACTTTGTTAAAGTTGAGCCGGAGTGGACAGGGCAGGGCAGGGCAGGCGAGTGGGGGAACCTAAATGCTTTTGCCAGATACACGTATACAAGGAATACATATCGTATAATTCATATAAATTTGCTGAGCACCAGAGCTCTCCCCGGGGTGCATTTAACTAAACGCAGCGCTGGGCCGGCCGAGGAGAGCCAGAGCAGCCAGAGCAGCCAGAGCAGCCGGAGCAGCCGGAGCAGCGCTGGGCTGACTACTCGTGGCAATTATAAATGGTTGAAAATAATTTCATTAAAAATGTAAAAAGCGGCATCAAATAGAACAGTGTATTAATAGCAGTCAAAGTCCTGGTACTGGTTCAGGTTCTGGTCCTGGCCCAAGGCCCGAGAGTCACGCCGGCAACAGCAGCTGCAGCAGCGGCACCAACTCTAGACTATCCAATGTTGTCGTACATTTTGGAGTCGTTGTCCGCATCCGCCGTGTCCGTATCCATGTCCTTGTCCATGTCCGTGTCCAAGTCCGTGTCGGTGTTGGCTACGTGCTGCCATTAACTTTGCTTTTGCCGTGCACACCTTGTCTCCTCTCTGCCCCCCGCTCTCTCTCTCTCTCTCTCTCTCTCTATCTCTCACTTTCACTCTCTCCCACTCTATCTCTTTGTTAGCAGAAATACATTGTCCTGTTATTGTCGTTGTTGTTGTTGTTCGAACTTTCGACTTCCTGTGCCCAAAAGGTTTGCACTTTGCGCCTGCTATTTGGTTTGCAAATTTAATGCGTTCGTAAATTCTCGACTGAAATTTCATTTGCGTTAGTTCATTTCGAGTGCTCTCTTTCACTCACCCTCCCTCTCCCTATCCCTCTCACTCACCCACTCACTCTCACCCCTTCAATCAACCCAACTAGTGTTCGGGCAGTCTCTGGCTAGTTACACTTTTTAGTGCCATCATCATTTAGGCTTGCGAAAAAGAGACAGAAAGAGAGAGAGAGAGAGAGGGAGCGAGTGAGAGTGAGAATCTACATCCATTTGTACACTTTCGCTAGGTGCTAACAATGCGTGCTGCATTTTTCGTGAGCACAGGAAATTAAGTTGGCAACTTTACATAAATCGTTATCCCCGAACCAAAGTCGGCAGCAGCTATTCGACTTTTCTATTTATGACTCGGCTCTATTAGCAACTAGTCAGAACTACTGCAAAGCGATAAAAGAAGTAGAAACAGACTAAATATATGTATCTGTATTTGTATCAGTATCTCTATCTGTATCTGTATCTGTATCTGTATCTGTATCTGTATCTGTATCTGAATCTGTATCTGTATCTGTATCTGTATCTGCATCTGTATCTGTATCTGTCTCTGTATCTGTATCTGTATCTGTATACGTATCTCTGTATCTGTATTTGTATCTGTATCTGTATCTGTATCTGTATCTGTATGTGTATCTCTATCTGTATCTGTATGTGTATCTGTATATGTATCTGTATTTGTATCTGTATCTGTATCTGTATGTGTATCTGTATCTGTATCTGTATCTGTATCTGTATCTGTATCTGTATCTGTATCTGTATCTGTGTATCTGTATCTGTATCTGTATCTGTATCTGTATCTGTATCTGTATCTGTATCTGTATCTGTATCTGTATCTG